ATGAGTTTTACAGCAGAGTTATATTATCCAGGTATTATGTGACTACTAAGGGGTGGTTAATAATCTCTGTTAACTTTCAAATCTGTGAATGTGCAGGGGCAAACAGTACTGTCTGCAACTAAGACCAGGCAGGGCTTGATGCAGGATCCCAAGAGACTGGCCCAGAGGTAGTGTTAGCACTGCAGTCCTCCACGCTGCTTTCTAAAGGCATGGATAATGAGGGAATGTGAAAAAGATGTGATTTCAAATGGAAAAGCTATAGTGGGAGTAAGTACAAAGTCCTTGGGGCAGAGCCCACAGACAGCTCAGTACCTAATGGCTTCACAGGACCAAAACTGCACTCCCTAACCTCACTGTTTCTCTGCACACCCCCTTCACTGTGTTTGTCACCTGCAGCCTGAGGCGACGTGTCCTGAATTTGCTCATGACTCCCAAATTAGAGTAAATATTTCTTTTCAATCTGATTTGCAAACGCTTGTTCTCCCCCCACCTCCGCCTCCCCCTATCATCTTCTCCTCTACCACCAAAAATTGTGATGCTCTCCCCCAGGTTCCAGGAAACCGTGTGACTGATTAAGCAGTTGGGGGCAGCTCAGGTGCAAAGAAAAAGCCAGTCAGATGATGGGCTGCTGCCCACTCGCTCCAGCAAGCGCATTCCATCTCTGCGTGTGTCTGCCCTGCTGCTTCCTAAGGGAGAGCAAAATGCCAGCCTTCTCTGGGCTGCCCACTCTGGATCCTCACAGCACTACCAGCATCCAGCAAAACCGATTTTCCTGCTGTGGGAGCAAAAGTGCCGCAGCCTGGGCAGAGGCATAACACCCTCTTCCCTCCTAGAGGAATTTGTCTGCATCTTTCATTGCACTCTGTTCCTTCTGGCTTTTGGGTAGTTTGGGATCTGTACATCAGAGGATTTGTGAGAAGAGTCTGCAGCCCACAGCCCAGGGTGGCACACAGCAAAGTAGTGGGGACATCTTCAAAAAGCCATATGTGAGAGACAGCAGCTCTGGATTTCTGTGTCTTCCTCACATCTAAATGCAACAGGAATTTACTTTGCATGGGTTCTGCTGGTGAAGGGGCCTGGTACCATTTCTTGCCTCGTGGAGAAAGGGTGTTTTGCTGAGCTCTGTGGGAGCTGGGAAGTTCTCCATGGCAGCATCACATCCCTTAGGGCAGGGACTTTCCAGCAGTCACAGTGCTTCTAGCAGCAAATTTATCTTCTGATTTTTGAAAGGCTGCTGCTAGAGGAACACCAGAGAAAGAGGCTCACTCTCGATGCTCTGCAGGAGGATTTCATCACAGCCCTGTGTGGGTGGGATGTTCCTACCTGTCTCCACTCTCTCCGCTTCTGCAGATATGCAGTTACTCCACATGTCAGACAAAAAAGAAGAGTTTTCCAACTGCAGATCTGATGCTCAATTACAGAATGGAGCCTGACAGCTACTACTACTGGGTATTAATAACTCTGCTTCACTTTATGGCTTTAACAGCTGTAGCGACCAAGATTTATGATGACACATTACGTTCAGCAATGCATCACATAAGGAAACTAATCTGACAGTGCCAGGTCACTGAGCTCACTTACAGGCTTTTAAGTGAGTTTCTTCTGCCAGATTTGCTGCCCTGTTTACTGGATAAAAATGAACAACTTGCACTGTTTTAATATAACTCTGTACTTGCCTCTGTTTTGGCAGCTCACAGACTCTTTTCCTTTTGTCACACTGCCTCCCCATGAGCCAGTTGATCCTTCTTCATTCCCCATCCTCTGTCTGAAAACCCTTTGAAACACATCCAGTGCTGTGTATCCTGAAGAAGGGTACACCCCTGAAAAGGGGAGGAGGGAGGAAGCTGGGAGGAAATAGTGGAGCAACAGGCAGAGATGAGGGATGGAGCAGCTACGGGAGAAGGGAGAGATGACAATTTTCCAAGAGCAGAGGAGCATGGTGACTGCCAGCACTCACTGTCTTGTGGCGGGATTTTATCTGTATCCCAGTCACTCTTGAAGAAGGTATGTATTGCAAAGTTTGGGATCACTCATTACTTCTCCCTAGACTTAGAATTAGAGCTGGCAGCAGCAAAGTCCTAAATAACTGGTAAGCATTAAGGTGGTACCCTGGAGCTGTGTCTGGGCCTGTGTCAGCCCCCTCAGCAGCCACAGCACCTGAGCACTAGCCCACAATTTGGAATCTCTTGTCTCAGCAGTGGGCTACATATTTCCATATTTTCTATCCTCATGGCACCATAATCCACGGCACAGACACAGGTGGATGGGTAGCAGAAGGCAGCTTCTCCTCAGGGGTAAATGGGCTTGTTCATTCCTCAGATGCATTCCTCATTATTCCTGCAATTTGCTTAGGAGCCTGGTCCAGCCAGCTTTCGTGGCATTTCCAATTCCCATCCCAAGGACCCTTTGTGTGGCACCTGTAAAAAGCAATTAAAAAGAATAAGTTTATTGTCAGGAGGTCTAAGTTTACTGCAGACAGTAATGTCCAGTGTACTGTTCCCCTGACAAACACTCAAGCTCTGCTAGTCAGAGGATAAAGAAAACACCCTGAAATAGAGTTGAGAAACCTCTTTGTGTTTACAAATGTTTCTGTGAAACAAGAACTTTTAAGCAAATAATGTAAAGTATGAACTTTGAAGTATGGAGTTCACATTTCTTCCTTTGATTAATACTTTAACATCCGTAGTACTTTAATGTAGCAGTATGTGCTGTAGTTTGTCTTTCTCTATATTGGTATCTAATAAATATTCCCAATACAAAATATTTCTTAATAAGTATTTTAATTGTTCCTCCTATGGCAACAGAAAATATGCTGCCCAAAATCATCAGTTATTGCCAAAAGGCAATATTATTTGAGGCAGAAATCTTGTTGGAGAAATATGCTTAAGAGGTGAGATCATTCACTGTTTTAATCTCCAAGTGAGACATTTCCTTAGAAGTGGTTATGCTTCTCTCATGTGTGCTACTACTTCTCTTTGAGTTCCCTATTCTTCTTTCTAATTTTAGAAACATAGGGGAAAAGTGTTGAGAGACATCTGGATCCTCATGTCCAGCTCCATACCATCACAGGCAATCATCTTACATATTTTCTTTTCTAGCTTCACCTTAAATCTAGTTTTATTCCCTTCCCTCCTGCAAGGCTCTGAAATCTCATGATTTATCTCATTGGACAACAAGATGGCAGCTTGCCTCAAATCTGATTCTTGTGCCAATGTTATCCTTTAATTTAAATAGGTAATTTTGTTTCCTGTTATTTATCCCAGTGGGACAATATTGAAGTAAAATAAATAATTATCTAACCCATCCCTATTCCTGCTCAGTTCTGGCTTTGTTGGTGAAACAAGGCAGGTCTGTTGTGTTTGCTAGGCAAAAAGGAGCTTTCCAATTTCCTCATTCAAGGCCAGCTCTACTTCATATGTGTGCAGGTTTTAATTCATCTTTCTTGACTGTGTATGGCCAAACAGTATAACAGATGGAGTGGTGATTTTTCTTTTCCGATGCTTTGTAAGTACTTTCTTTACTTCTACTAGGATTATGTCAGCTGGCCTGCCCTAGGTTGTGTTGATTTTTTCCCCTGCTTCTATTGAGTCCTGATTATCCTAACAGAATGCAGATACCCCTGTATTTGATGAAACATTGTGTTCTCAGCAGAAATTGTGACTTTTGCCTCCAGAACGCACGATCTCGCACCCAGCACTCCTAACCATCGGCTGATTTTTATGACACTGCATCTCCAAGTTGATTCCTGTCCAGTGATTCCATCATCCCCGTCCATGTGCGCAGAGCCTCCCACAGCCCATCAGCCACAGTTCCCAGTAGCTGCTGTTTCAGCCCTGCTCAAACATCCTTGTGAGCCCATCCTTGTAGGCTCTGGATGAGTGCCTGCGTTGGCTGCTCCAAATCGAGCACCACAGAGAACTCCTTGGCAGAGCTGGATGTCTGGGATCTCTGCTGACAGCTGCTCTGTCTGGGACAAGGTGCCTTCGGGGAAGCCCTGTTTTATTTCAGCAAGCCCACAGATTCACAGAATCACAGAACCAGTTAGGTTGGAAAAGACCTCTGAGCTCATCGAGTCCAACCTGTGACCCAACACCACCATGTCAACTAGATAACGGCACTGAGTGCCACATCCAGTCTTCCTTTAAACAGCTCCAGAGATGGTGACTCCCTAGATAGTCCATTCCAATGTCTAATCTCCCTTTCAGTGAAGAATTTCTTCCTAATGTCCAACCTGAACCTGCCACAGCTTAAGACTGTCTCCAGTGCTGTCCCCTGTCACTTGTTGCCTGGTAAAGAGACTGATCACCACGCGGCTACATCCTCCTTTCAGGCAGTTGTAGAGAGCAGTAAGGTCTCCCCTGAACCTCCTTTTCTCCAGGCTAAGCAACCTCACCTCCTTCAGCCTTTCATCATGGGACTTGTGCTCCAGATCCTTCACCAATTTCGTTGCTCTTCTTTGGAGGCGCTCCAGCCCCGCAATGTCCTTCCTGAACGGAGGGGCCCTTTGACAAGTTTGTATTTTTATACAAACTTTATATACAAGTTTGTATTTACGTGGGAGAGGGTAGCTGGGCGCTGTGAGCGGAGTTGGCGGGGCGAGCCCCCGAGGTGGGGCCGAGGGTTCGGGGCTCGGGGGCCGCCCCCGGCCCGAGCGCGGCGGGGCTGCCCGGGCGGAGCGCCGGGAGCGGGGCCGGAGCGGGGCCAGAGCCGCCCCCGCTGCGGCGGGAGGGCCGGGCCGGGCGGGGCCGGGCGGGGCGGGGCGGCCGTGCGGGGCCATAAAGGCGGTGCGGGCGGCGGCGGGGCCGGCGTGTTTGCTCGGGGTGAGCGGCGGGGCCGGGGTGAGCGGCGGGGCCGGGGCTTCTCTCCCCTCTCCGGGCGAGGCGGGCGGGCGGGCTGTGCCGGGAGCGGGAGCTCGGCAGCGCTCCTGCCGTGGCTGTGGGCGCTCGAGGCGGCGTGAGGCGCAGGGAGCCGGACCTGCCGTCCCCAGCGCCGCTGGGCTCTGCGGGACAGGCCCGCGGACTCTTTGGGTGTTGTGTCAAATTGTATCTCTTATAGGAGAAAGTTGCTGCTGCAGGGTAACGCACCTCGTCGTGACCAAGGTGAAGGTGTGTAGTCCTCGCTCTTTTTTGCTTCTGGTTTGAGTGTTGTGTTCAATAGTCTTTACGCTCGTTATTAGCTATGTATTAAAGATTGTTAGTGTCTCCTGCCTCCGTAGTGGTTTTCTTCCCAAGGAGTGCGTATCTGCACTGTCAGATCTTGCGAAGGGAATGGCTGGCAGTGAAGCAAGGGGCTTGGGAGATGTTAGCATCCCAAATGTACTGGAGTCGCTAGGAATCTGTTGTCAGTAACATAAAGCTTGCCGAGTAAGCAAACACTAGTGATTTGGGGGTAGGAGTCTTTGGAGGTTGATAGCCTGAGAATTAGACCCTCCACTGAACTGGAAATGAAATACTTTGTCTTTCTCCCCCCAGGGGCAGCAATGTGCATTATTCTCCTAGGTGAGGGTCACCAAGCAGAACCAAGTGTGTGTGGTGGGGTTGGAAGCACTGGTCCAAATCCTTTCTGGTCACTGGTGAATAAGCTGTGTGTGTTGTCTTGGCTGCAGAGATGGCTACAAATGAGAAGAAGGAGAGGGAATAGTTTCAGAGGCCATAGCTGAAAGCACTTGCAGCTTTAGTTAGAAGTCGTGGGAAGACTCCTGTGTTCTTTAGTGATCTGAAGGATTTAATGGGAATACAGTGAGTTTACTGAGGAAATGTACTTTAATGTGCTTGAACTGCATGAGAGCGACTGCTGGCAGGCTTGATGCTTTTGTGCTTATCCTGTGTTGGAGCATTAAAGATCGAGCTTGAAGAACCTCTTGATTTGTCCTAGATTAATCATCTTGCAAATCAAAGGTTTGTTTTGTGCCTGCTGGTGCTGATGTGTTCCATGGCAGCACAGTTTGTAATGCAGCAGCTCATTCTCAAGGACAGAAGCATTTTAACCTTGCTGTGTGCTTGCTCTAGGTTTGACTGTCTTCATCCAAACAGGTGGCTGGTCAAATGAGTTGCTCGAAAATGAAAAGCTGAAAAAGGGGAGGTCTGAGATGACAATAGCTGTTCTGTGAAACTTGCTTAAAAGTGATTCATGCACTGTGGTATTGCATGCTGTGAAACTATAGGGTTTGGGTTTTCCTTCTTGGTAGGCAAGAGTTAATTAGGTTCAATTTGACTAGTCTGACCTTGGCAGCTGCAGTCTTCAGGAGTACTTGGGGCAGAAGAAGGTGAGGCCTGAATTAGTCTGTAGCTGTCAGGAAGCACCTGGCTACACAGAAACCTGGAACACTTAAAAAAAGAAAAGGGTATTAACACCAGTTTGAGTTGCATGACTGTAGAACATCTGAAAGTATCTCCATGCTACAAAAGGCAAGTGACTTATCACTTGTCACAGCTAATCACATCATTCTCTTATGCTTAAAATGTTCAGACAAGGCTGTGACCAAGTCTGGTTGGTGAGATTCTGGGTGTTAAAAGAGTAATATGAGCTTGGTATGCATCATCTGAATTTGTCCCAGATCTTACAAGCTTGTTTGGCATTCACAAATGAGCAGAACTTGGGGCAAGTATGAACATTTCTAGAAAGGTACTTTGGTTCAGCAGTTTCTCTGAAGAAGGGCAAAGAGTTGCTTACAAAGACTGGAGTGCCCATTGAATGCTGTCACCTGAGTTTGCAGCTGGAATTCTGTCCAGGATGTTGAAGAGCTGTAGCTTTTTGCAGGAGCAAGATGTACTTGGCCTTTATCCTGTGGGTGATAGATGCTGGATCATTTAGAGAGGAAAGCATTCTATGTAGAGGAAGAAATCTTGTATCTCTGACATAATTTAAGAGTTGTCAGTGGACTGGATGTCTAAGCCCTGAAACTAACACCCGAGGCTGTTCAACAGTTGTGTTAGCTGGAGACGGCAGTTTGAGCTTTATATGCATCATGAAACAACTTCAAAGCCTGACTCTCAGAAGTCCTTTGCTGCTCATCTCACTTCTGCTGGTGCTGCTGATGACTTTAGCCTTAGCTTGTGTCATCTTTGGTAATTTCCATTTGACACAAACTACTTTCCTGAAGTATCTCTACCTCACAAAAAAAAAAAAACCCAAAACGGTGGCGACTAATATATTTTTTTGCCTGCACCAATAGAAAAGCTGTGTCTCATTTCAGGTGAAAAGATTGCAGATAATCATTAATACATGGTTATTTCTGTCTAGTTTGTGTCTGTGTGAATGGACAGAAAAACAGAGCCTAGGAATAGATCTAGGAAGCACAAGCAGAAGCTCTGACTTGTCTTTTTCTTTTCATATCCTACCTCCAGTTTCTTTGGAGAAGAAAAGCCCTAAGATGGCAGGCAAAGGAAGCAGCGGAGCAGACTCCATGTCCTGCAGTGTCCTGAACTGGGAGCAGGTCAGCCGTCTGCACGAGGTTCTTACCGAGGTGGTTCCCATCCACGGCCGGGGGAACTTCCCGACGCTGCAGATAACGCTGAAGGACATTGTCCAGACGGTTCGGAGCCGCCTGAGCGAGGCGGGCATCGTGGTCCACGACGTCCGATTGAACGGCTCTGCAGCTGGTCACGTCCTGGTCAAGGATAATGGGCTGGGATGCAAAGACCTGGATCTCATCTTTCAAGTTTCTCTTCCAAGTGAGGCAGAGTTTCAGTTAGTCCGGGATGTGGTCTTGCGATCCCTGTTGAATTTCCTGCCGGAAGGGGTGAGCAAGCTGAAAATCAGTCCCGTGACGCTGAAGGAAGCCTACATCCAGAAGCTGGTCAAAGTGTGCACGGAGACTGACCGCTGGAGCTTGATATCGCTTTCCAACAAGCATGGCAAAAACGTGGAGCTTAAGTTTGTGGACTGCATTCGGCGGCAGTTTGAGTTCAGTGTGGACTCGTTCCAGATCATTCTGGACTCCCTGCTCTTTTACTATAACTACTCAGAAACCCCCATGTCGGAGCACTTCCACCCGACTGTGATTGGGGAGAGCATGTATGGAGACTTTGAAGCAGCTTTTGATCACCTGCAGAACAAGCTGATAGCTACCAAAAACCCCGAGGAGATCCGAGGCGGCGGGCTGCTGAAGTACAGCAACCTCTTGGTACGAGACTTCAGGCCCATGGATAAGGACGAGATCAAAACGCTGGAGCGCTACATGTGCTCCCGCTTCTTCATAGACTTCCCAGATATCCTGGATCAGCAGCGCAAGCTGGAGACCTACCTCCAGAACCACTTCTCCAAAGAAGAGAGGAGCAAGTATGACTACCTCATGATTCTGCGCCGGGTGGTGAATGAGAGCACCGTCTGCCTCATGGGGCATGAGCGCAGGCAGACTCTCAATTTGATTTCTCTGCTGGCACTCAAGGTGCTGGCAGAACAGAATATCATCCCTAATGCCACTAATGTGACCTGTTACTACCAGCCAGCACCTTATGTCAGCGACGCAAACTTCAGCAACTACTACCTGGCAAGTGCCCCTGTGCTGTACAGCCAGTCCTACCCCACCTGGTTGCCTTGCAATTGATCGCTCCCCTCGAGTGCTCCTGGCTCGAGACTGCTGAAAGCCAGGAGTGTAAATATAGACAAGTACTAAGTGTCAGTTGGATGTTCTCTAATGGAAACGTGACTGTATCAGACTGTCCATTTCCTGGTGTGCAGTGGGATTATGCAGCCAGGTGACCTGCTATGAATCTTTAAGAGTATCTCTACAAATGCCAAAAAGCCTTATTACCTCTTCGTGGGGAGAAGAGAACCAACAGCCAGACATTAAGAGGAGCAGTTAAGAAACTTTGTACTAGCTCTGGAAGTGGCTGTTAACATGGGATATAAGTGGACTATACAGTAAACTGGGTTGGTTAATTGACTGTAAAATGCCTTAAGCAGAAGCTGCTCCTGGAGTAGCAGCAGAACTCTGCTTTCTATTTCCTAACCTCATTACTCTTCCTCAGTCCAAGTTCTGGCCAAATTTCTCTTGAACTAATTGTGCCAAGACTGGGCTCATGTTATGCTTGGATCGCGTTCACTTTGTGTCTGTGTGAGCTGGTAGCAGTATGGATCATGTCTGTCTTGTAGAGGACATGAATGTTGTTTCCTGTAGTGCCTATGGCTATGTGGTCCTGCCTTGAGTTCAAGATTAATTTCTTGGAAGTTGAAGATAGTTTAGTAAGTCTATTCACAAAGTATAAGCTGGTTGAATTTTTCTTGACTACAAAAACTTGGAAGGTGGCATTTCTAAAAACACACCAAAACATAATCTAAAACTTGGTAATGTAAAAAGTCCTTGAAATGAGTAATTTAAGCTTTAAATAGAATTGGAGCTGCAGTTTGAACATTAACTTGGAAAAATATTCTTGAGTCCAGCACGAAGCTAAAGCTTTTCTGACTATCTTTCAAAACAATTTTGGCACAGTAGGAAAGTAGCACAGCTCTTACTTTGGGGGTTCGACCAGATTTTCTTCCTCACAGGTCTGCAGCAAAACCAACAAAAACCCTAAAGAAAAATCCCAAGTCACTATAAATTGCAGGATTATGTGCACTCCTGCCACAGCATGAATTCTGAAAGTGCCTCCTAAAATGAATTTTGTATTGTATGACTTCAGACCGGTCCTGGAGGTTTGCCTTTCTGTCACCACTGAGTTATCACTGTCACCTGGTCACTGCATGAGACAGCATGTCGAGTGGTTAGGGTAAAATTCTTCCTCTTTACTGCTCTTAACCCTCACTTGAGGAGGTGTACAAACCCTGAGCAGAGCTCTCCACAGAAGTTCTGTGTGTTGAAAGTCTGGGCCTGAGTTCAGAATAGTCTCTGGAAGAGTATGCTCTCCCTTGGAGGTACAGAGGGCTGATCTTCCTGAAGGATGTGTGCTGAATTTGCTGCTTTGAGACTCCTGGGCTTTATAAGGAAGGTTAAAAACTCCTCAGTTATTTATGTAGTGGTGTTATTAACAGGATGATTTTCACTGAATTACAATAGTAAAATACATACAGCAATGATCTTGAGTTTCTTTTGTTTAACCAGAGATGTAGACTAGAAAGGCAAATCTTAGAGCTATTTATTATGTGCTGGTGCAATGTTCAAAAATGCTTGTTCACTGAATCTTTTTTATTACTTCTGTAACTATTTATTGTTACAGAATATTGCTACTTGTTTCTGCAAGCTTGTAAGACCAAAGTGCCTGATCCAACAAATGATTAAGGCTTAGAAGGTAGAGCAGAAAACAGATGGAACACCAATGTTTGGTTGCCATTCAAGGGGGAAAACAGCAGCAGTGCTGTACTTAAATGATGGTAAAAATGGCCTGCTCCTCATCAGACCAAAAAGTTCTTTCCACTTTTCAGAACTACTTCATAAAGACTGTCTCAACAGAGTAGTGAGGCTGCTTCTCTGTTCAGACTTCATTTGGCTTAGGAAGGCAGGGAGGGATGCAATCTACCAAGTGGACTGTATGTAGCTAAGCAGGCTTTAGCTTAATTTCCTGAACAGTTTTGATAGAACTTTAGTAGCAAAAAGACAAATAATTTGGTGGATTATATTGTATGGTTTTTTCATTAAAGGCTTCCTGATTAGTCAGCCAAAGTAGCTAAACTGGAAAGCAAACCCAGCCTTTTTCATTAACTGTGGCTTGGACTTGGTGTGCTTTACAGGCAAGACATCTGTCATCCAAGACTTTGACTTTTTACAAACTAACATGATGCCAGTGTTGTCATGTGTGTTAAACTTAGTGCAAGCTTACTGCTGGAATGCAATCCTAGGCAAGAATAACTCCTGCATGGAAAGCAAAACTTGGCCTAGTATAGAGTGTCACCATGAAGAAGACTAGAGGGTTTGTAATTGCTGTCCTCTCTTGCATGGATGTTTTTGAAGCCAGCCTGTGCTATAGCCATTGCAGAAGTGAACAGGTGCCTAGAGGGGCTCAGACTCAGGTATCTGCCTTCTCTGTGATGTCATGGCTGATCTTTAGGAACTGGTTTTGTGCATTGGCTTGTGTGGAAGAAGTGGTGAGATGCTTGGGAGGAGTCCTCACAAGCTGAAAACAGACTTGTTTTATTAGTCTTGAAATGCCTTGGCTGCTGGTGCATCAGGCCAGGTGCATCTCCTGGAAAAGGAAGTGCTGGAGAATGAAAAAAGGCTGAATTGGATTCCTAGTGAGGTAGAGCTATGGAGAAGTTTCATGCCATAACTATTGTGCTTTTGCTGACGTAACTTGATGCTGAGGAAGCTCCACATTGAATTGCTGCTCTCTGAACTGCTGAGTGAGTGCCTGGGTTTGAGCTTTGCAGGGCTCTTATGTTCCCTGTCTGGTTGTTAGGATGCTCTGGCATGTGGGAAATACTGATGCTTTGTAACCTGGCTCTTAGATACTAAACCCTCGAGTGGTTAAATTGTATCCTGAAGCTGCACACTGCCGGCTGCATTGACCCTGGAGTGCCAGGGATTGCTGGGGCACTGCTCATCCCATTGCCTTCCAAATAATCCAGGCTTGGCAGGAAAAGCTGGTGTACTTGGTAGCTTCTCACCACTGTGCTGCAGGTGCTCCCCTTTCTGTTCTGGTGGTGCTGGCAGCTTGATGGTGCAATGGCAGTGGCTCAGTTTGCTGTGGGTTGGCTGGTTTGAGGTCAGGTTTATGGGGAGCCCTCTTGCAAGGGGTGATTTGAGAATGAGCACTAAAAGGTAAAAGTGGTGATCCTGGGCCAAGTCTAGGATGCCTGCTTGGTTCAGTCACCCCTCAGCACTGGTGATGCCTCTGCTCTATAAATCTCTTCTAACCTCTTGTGTGTCATGTGGAGCTTAGAGAGAGACTGCTGTGCCTCAACTGTTACCTGATACATTCCCTCTGAGAGTGGCATTAAAGTAAAGCTGCAGTGACACTCAGTGCATCATTCCTCAGGATCAAGCTTCTACTAACTAGGCTGTGGTGTAAAATAGCTGGGTTTTCTTGTATAGCTTGTAAGCACTGCTGGACAAAGCCAGTCTGGGGTTAAGCACCTGTTGACAACGTTTATTGCAAAGTTCCCTTTGACTTGCAGTTTATTGCTGTGACTTCCTCACTGTAAGATAGACTTTTTTATTTGATGGAGATGCTGCCAAAGAGACCTGGTGGAAGACTGTGTTTTAGTCACTTTGCTAAAAAAAATCCCTGTGCTGATCCATGGTCACTGTGGCAAGTTGTAAGCTAAAGCATAGTTTGTGCTTACTCTGCTAAAGATTTAATTATTGCTGTGTTTGTCCTCAGCTCAGTCAGTCAATCACTAAGTTGGGAGTTTAAGACTACTGCTTGCTTCTGAACAACCATTTTTCAAAAGATCCTCATGCTTTCACTTAATAATCTCTACAAAGCAGTAGGTAGTATTTAAATCTAGTCCAAATACCTAAAGCTTTGTACCTGAAACTTAAAGATCCATATTTTGGACTCGAGTTCTGCGGTTAAGCACTTGGTATGTGCCTAGGCTTTGTGGTTCCCAATTCCTAGAACAACCACTGATGTTAGTAGTGACCTCCCCTTGTCACTAGATAAGTAATTGGGGAAAGGACTCTTAGAAGAGAACCTGGACAAATTGCCTTAATCCTAAACTGTCAGTGTACTGATGGTACTTGTTTCCCATTCCTCTCACTCAGCTCAGTCAGGATTCTGTAGCTGTTAGGCACAGGAATGAGCAGTAATTGACCACAGCCACCAGCAGCTTGGTCTAATTTGGGCATTGGGAGAGCCAAATGAATAATAAAACTTCCAGCCCTCACATCTAAGTCTTGCTCAACTCTTTCTTGAATACAGTTAAATGTATTTCATAAATGTTCTTTATTTTCAGTGAAGCCAGATACAGAGTGGGATGTTGGTCTGTAGTAGAAACTTTGGAGGAAAAGGTTGGAGCACTCTGGTTTTTCTCACTTACATGTCTGGATTGGGCTTGTCTCTCTGAATAAAACTGCACTTCCCTTTTTTCCTATGTTTCTTATTTTTTACTATTAAAAGAAGTCAGCTCTTGGAAAACCTGTCACTCATCTCTTTGGAAGAAGTGATTTTTTTTTTTCTTTCTCCCTCTCCCTCTTTTAGCTGGCAAAACAGGGTACTAGAAATATTTGGATTTGTGATGAGCCCAAATGTGAGATCGGTCACAGTAACTTTGTCTACTGTTCTGCACTGTGGTCTTCACTTGTCATCCTTGGAAACTGGGGTTTGGACCTTAATGATGCTGAAATTCTTGTGCAAATAAACATATGCTAAACCACTCTCGCCTCAAGCTATTTTTGCATCTAAATAATGCTGACAAAGTATCTGTAGAGTTCATTGACCAGTGGGTGTGCAGGTGCACTTGTGAGGTGAGTAACAGTGTGGGGTACACAGCAATGCTTGCTTTAGATGTTATTTGAGGTACACATTTTATATCTGCCTCAACTTATTGGAGATTAGTCTGTCAAGTGAGACATGATTAATCTTTCACTTTCATTACAGAGACAGCTTCTAGAGAACCATTTTTCCCTGTCTGGTCTCAACTTTAAGACATGGTGAGACACAGCCCCAGAGCTGTTAGGCAGGGTCTGGTCTGAGCTGGAGCCTGCCAGTCTGTTTGGTGCCACACTCCACTTTATGGAGCAGCACTCTGCTACTGCAAACTTCAGCTCATGACCCAGGGGGGTGAGAAACAAAGTCAGTAATTGTTTCCCAGGTTATTTACAGGTTGAAAGCCTTTGCTTTCATGCTGTCCTAAGCACTGATGGCACTATTAACCAATGGTCAGTGGGAGTTGAGCAGGTCAAAGCTAAGTACAAGCTAGGGTTGTTTGGCAGTCCTGCTGCTCTTTCTCTAGAATAAAGAATAAATGCTCTTAAAAAGTGTGCTTGCTTCGAATCCCCTCCAGAGCTCAGACAAACTCCAGCCTCAGCTAAGTATTGCTGGAGAAATTCCAGCCTCCAGGACCTTGTAACACGTGCAGTGGAAAGGTCTGTGGAATTTAGAGGCGGTGTGATCCCATGGAAGCAATCATGAACTTTGTGTAGTCCCTTTTTCAGATCTAATTGCTTCCCTATGAACTTAAATAAAGAACTAATAAAGCAGCTGGGCAACACAAACCATCTGCTGTCACCTAAAACTCTCTCACCTGAACTCCTGCTTGTCACACCACAAAAGCTTTGGAGTTATTTTGGGCACCACCCTTATGTTTCTGGAAAACCAAGCTCAGCTTTGCAGGGTCAGATAGTGAAACAACAAAATAGCTGTGCTTAGGCAAGTGCTGCCAGAGTACTCTGTGTGTTCCATATAGAGCTTATATAATGGTAGACATTCAGAGGCACTAAAGAAAGATGGTTTTGCTCTATTGCAGTTGTACTGTTAGTGAAAATAAGTATCCTGTTCTGGGGTATCTGCTAGAACTCTGACTTCTCTGTGCTGTGCAAGATGAGCTCAGGTATTAGACACATGGTAATTTATATTATTGTCATTATTCTGTCAGGTGTACTTATTCTCTCCTTCCTTCTGAGATGGAATACTTAATATTTTTGAAATCAGAGTGCTCAAAGTGCCCTTACAGAGACAGAGTAGTTGATCCTATGAAAGAGAGAGAAAAAAATCTGTGCATTACTGCTTATCTAATATTACATATTACACACTAATATATTTAGTTCATCAATACATGAAATACTTATAGCTGGTATTTTCAGCAATAAAATAACTTTTATTTATTCAGCACATACCACTTGAATATGGGTATAAAACATGGCAGTTGTGTTTTGCTGCAGTAGCAGTGCTGTGATCTGTTCTGCTTCATCTCAATGAGTTCCACATCCTACAGGCAAGACTGCCCAGCCAAGGGACTATTCAGCCTGCCAAACCTTCATGATTTTCCTCCTAGGAAAGGGTTGAGTCATCATGCTGGAAAAAAGTGAGTCTTGACAAAAACTGTGTGCAAAGCAGCTGCTAGGGCCTAAGCTGGTAGTTTGTGTATAGGATCAGGAATCCTATACATTTGCTAGTGTTATCCCTTTGACCCTTAAGTGGTTTAATTAACCAGCAGGAATGAGTTCCCTAGGCTGTGCTGCAAAATGCTGGGCTGTTTCTGTCACTGGTGAGTAGATTAGAGGACAATCCATATCACCAATGCTTGGAGAATGGAGTAGTGCAAACTCTGGGAGAAGCCTGGCCAACACAGAGGAGTGGCTGGTCTAGTCTGTGCCAATAACCTTTTGTCACTGAAAAACCTCTGTAGAAACTCCTGCATACTTCAGGAGACTCCCAAGGCTTGACTGCACCTCAAGCAAAGGGAAAATTGTCCTCCCTTGCAAGAGAAGGGTTAAAGTGTGAGAATTCTAATTTAGTCACTGCCCCCATGCAGCAAGGCAAATCTGAGAGTGCTAGATATGTGGAATGTGAATTACAGTCCCACAGACTGCTCCCTTTGTGGGTGCCCTTCTTGCTTCAGAGCTGACCGTCCACCTGCAACAGTTCCCTTCCCCACCCCCTCTCTGTGGCTTATCTGAGAAACTTACTCTGGAAGCTATATCTGAATGTTCCTCCCTGGAGATTAGTGCCCTGAGCTTACCCTAAAGATAGTGGCAATACATTCTGTGCTGGGAGAACCTGTTCTAATATTTGACTGTGGTCATTACTGAGAATTTCAATTGCATTTTCACACTGGGCTTTGGACTTCATCTTCAGCCTGTGGATTGCTGCATCCTTAGCAAAAAGACTGAGAAGTCCCAGACAGCCTCCTGCTATCCACTAATCTCTTCAGTTCTTGGATGAACTGCAGAAAATGGGCATTTTATGTTGTATACATTTGATTCAGAAGCTGGAAACGTTTTTTTCTGTAACTTCCTTGTTCCTGTTTCTTGCTACCCAGCACCAGCTGTTAGCCCAGTGCTCTACGTGCTCCCAAAAAATGGTGCTCAGATTTTGAGCAGCAAGTTCTTGATGTTTGTGTCCACCAACTCTGCCTGGCACTGCTACCATGGCATGCCAAGTGCTTGTGCAGAGTTGGTTATCCACAGTGATTTCAAATTCCATCTGCTGCTTTCTGAGGCAGCCTCTACCATCTGCTATCAACATCTGTGCTTCTGGTTTCCAGATGTGGTATTTTGCACTTGAGGGTATTAGAAAAGCATTTTGTCTGAATTCTGTGGGCGAATACTCATGAGGTGGATGGACAGAGTAACTCATCTTCATTGTTTTTCTACCATGCTGTCTTCAGTGTTGCATAGTTCTCTCAGTTTTGCATTGTTCTTGCACACTGAAGGGTATGTGACGTGGCTGTGGGCACTTTGAAACCTGCAGGTGGCTTAAAACCAGTGTCAGCACAAAGTCCACAGAGGTACTGGACGCAGGTTATTTTGGGAGTTTTTATTTGCTCTGCAAATACAGAGCAGAGACAGCAAAGAAACCTTATATTCTGTCAGCGCTTAGCAGCAACTCCCCAGTCCTTTCCTCTGCACCTCCACATTTATAACTCTGCAGTTAAAAATGTCCTTGGGGCTTACTGATTTTACTTGCTGTTAATAAGGAATAGATGAGTGGTCAAAGGATCTTTGGTTTGGCACAACTGAAGTGGAGAGCTCCATGTTTCTGCTCTTGCCATCACACCTGTAACTCATCACAGTCAGCTGCCTGTCTTGCTGCTCCTGTGGGGCTCCCCAAATGCTGCACAGCCCTGGCTAATTTAAACTTAAATCAGCCAGGACTGATTTAATCTCTAGATCCACATGAGTTCCCTTTCACTTTGTCCTCCTGGGCAGCTTTTCCTGAGGCTGGGACAAAGGGAGTTATTTTGGGGATGAGAGCCTGCCATGGGCACAGTCCAAGCTCCCTGTGACAGCAGTGGGAGTGTGTGCAGTGCTGGGAGGCATTTGCTGGCAGCCTGGCAGACCTGAGTGCCATGGGCTCCTGTGCTACAGCTGTCCTGCTGCCCAGCTCTCCTGGAATGTGTTTCCCCAGCCCTGTTTGATCAGTGGGAGCGAAATGCGCAGATGGAGCTCAGCCTCCGGCATCAAATTCATGGAGTTACTCCAGAGAAATGCTGCTCACAGGAAAAATACCCCCAGCATCTGTTTTGGAGCAGAGGAAAATTTGAATGTGGAGTAATATTCCAGCTAAAGATGTGCATGCCTCAAATTGGTGGTTAGCCTCCCTCCTTGCAGCACTTCTCTGGTAGAAGGAGGATTCCTGTTTGTTACCATTTCCCAGCCCATGGGCCCTGAAGAGAGGAAAAAGCACATTTTGGTAACAGAGGGACTTGCCAGCAGGGCCAGGAGGGGATATTTTGGAAGCCCTGCCTGTTGATGGAGTGGGAAGGGAAAGGGAGGCTGGATGGGATTGGGGCATTTTGGAAATCAGATAGAAGGCTTCAGGATTTTAAAAAATCCACACAGATGACCCAGAAAACTGACAGAGAGATGTTTCATCTTCTTACAAGTAGGTCTGACTTCAAAGTGAGGCAGCATGCCAGCAGAAATTGCTGTGGGGCTGTGTTATGCCCAGGCTTAGGATGCTCTACAAGTAGAATTTGTAAATTTTGCAACAGTCAATTGCAATATGAATTGTGGCTAATGTGCTCTACTATTATCAAGTGCTCCACGTGGCTCTCCTCGGCACTTATGGTGTGAACTGTGGCCTTCAGAATGCTCAGCCAGATTTTTGTTGACTGGTTAAAATAAATAAAAGATTTCTGTATGGGTAGAATTGCAACTACAGTTATGAGTTTCAGTTGACCAGGACTTGAATTTTTGTTTTAATTGAAGTACTCAGTGAGAACATCTAGTTTAAATTTCATTTACTAGCAATGTGATACTTGACTAAAGTGTCTTACTGTAAAACTGCCTGTGAAGTTATGACTTTTAATTCCAAAACAGTAGGTTTTGCTTTGAAGGTGCTTGCTGCCTGATTGCTGGTTTGACTTACTGCTAATAAGGAGTAGATGAATACTGAAAGGGTCTCCAGCTCACCTCAGGGATCGTTTGACTGATTTGCAGTATTACAATACCAGATCATCATCAGAGAGTTTATGTCCAC